AGAGAGAGAGAGAGAGAGAGAGAGAGAGAGAGAGAATGCTATTGGTTAAATGAGGGGGGGCATTTGCAGGAGAAATCCATATGATGATGCTAAAGAGGAACGCCGTTTCCCACGATCTTCAAGACGCATTTCAAGGTCACCATCAGGCTCTCCCTCAAGATCTGCAGAGTTGTCTCCAAGGCGTGGGAGGCCGTGAGGTAGCAAGGCTTCTTCTGCCTCCTCTTTTTGGTTATTCCCTTTCGGTTTAGCTTTTGGATGTTGCTGAAAAGGCTTATTCTGTTTAATCCTTCATTGTGCAGGCAACAGTAAAATGGTTAGTGTTTCTCGTTCTACAGGAATGTAAATTGTTAGCAATCTTTTGAATGCTAGTGGTTTTAGTGTTTTAATGAGTGTTACATGCAACAATCTTTTAATTTTATTTCCTCTTTCTGACTCGTAGACTCAAAAGTTTGGTTCTTGTTAGCTAATAGTGGATTTGTGTTTGGGATATGGCTTGATAGAGACATGGGCTTCATGTGACCAAAAAATGCCATACAATTTCTTTAGATGGGATTCTCAAGTTTTGCAATCTATGATCTTTATTTGAATGATAAATGTGTTTCGCATCATGTAAATGCATGCATTACTGATGAACAAAATAATTGAGAGTTGTCTTGTGTGCACCTATATGGGATGCAGCCATGTATACATGTACAACTAGTCTTCAGAAAACCTGGATGGATGCATAAATCTCGGTAACCGGGTAAATTGAGATGGATTACTGTTTCCAAGTTGGATAGCTGGTGATCAAATTCAAAATGATGGAAAAGGTAAAAAAAAAAAATTTCAAATTGAGTGGTTGTAAGGGTGCTACTGACTCGATTCAAAAGTTAATAAAAATAAATAAAAATTCGAACTTTGTAATGTATCCCAAGCCATCCAATTTAGCATCAAACGGCTGGGAATAATATTGACCTCCTAGTCTTATAATATACAAACCAATAGCAATTTAAGTTTCCTTGTTTATAGTCTTAGAAGATGTGAACTGATATAAGGGGTTGTGAATCGCCCATGCATTTCAAATTTGGTGAATATAGAATTATCTACCAGAAACACTCAGAAGAATCTGGACAAAGAAATGTATAAGAATATGCATATGATTGAGGAGAAGATCTATGTAAGGTTGAGGCCTTAACAATCAGATTAAGTTGTACCTCAAAAATTCACTAAACAAGTCTTTTTATGTTAGAAAATCCTCAAATCTGATCATCTTAACCTTGAGATATTGTATTTTATAATGCATTGTCTAGGTAGATTTTGGAGTGTTCATATGTTTGATCTACAGCTTTAAATTTTATGATTAGAGATAAAAATAAATTTTTAGCTTTCATATATATTTTTGATATTTTTGAAACTTTAAATTTTATAATTAGATATAAAAATCAATTTTTAGCTATCATAAATGTTTTTGGCAAGGAAACGACATCTTTCAATACTATTTGGAAGTGTGCGTTACTTCCATTGTTCAAGTTTAAGGCCTCAGCCCTAGAAAAACCGCACCCTATAACTTATATCATGTAGGTTAGTAAAACTAATTGAACCATAAAAAGATAAATAAAACAAATTTATACAGGAAAAAATTCACGAACTAATCAGACGTTCCCATTGACAACATCGGTACAACTCAGCACCATAGAGCTGATGATCATGCACCCACTTCAAACTCTTCAATATATGCTTTTAATAGTCGGATTGACTTGCGGACCTGACTGGCGACCTTACCAGGTGTGTGTCCGGACTCAGACAGTGAATCTGATGGGCTCGTTCTCGGTCGACTTGACCTTGACTTGACCAGGTCGGGACCTGGTCCTACTTGGATTCTATCGAGTCAGGGTGGCTTGACTTGACAAGACCCGACATAGTATATATTAGCATAATAATATAAATAATGTTAATTATAGGAAAGTGTGTGGATAGGATTGCAGCCCTATCAAAGTAAGTAAATCCTCATCACAAAACTGAGTGAAAACTGCGATTTTCGTATCAATTTCAAGTAGATCATCTTGGCCTTGACCATGTGGTTTATGAAAAAATAAAGGATTCGAGCCTTCATGACATATTATTTAAATTGTCAGCCTTAAAGGTATGTGAGCCCTCATTTTTTTTTGGTTTCAAATTTCATAATCGATCTTAAAAATTGATTTTAGAACCATTATGGAGATTTTTGATGCTCAATGTAATTTCTAGATGAGGATTCGAGGTGAGGCTTTACTTTATTTTTATAAAGTCTAGGTTTTATATAAATTGCATCCTTAATTGTGTATTATATTTTATAGGTTGTGGTTTATACAAGGTTGAGGCTCTAAACAATCAAAGTAAAGCATACCTTTAAAAAAGTGTTTAAATAAGTCGTTTCAGTACTGAAATTTTTTATGATGACGTGAAAATTTAGTTTTAATTGTAACATTTAAAATTTAAAAAATGGTGTAGATCAAGCAAATCTGCGAACACTTGAAAATTGAAGGTCCAGATAATGCATTACATGATGCACCATTTGTAAGACTTGAAGTGCATTTTTTACTCCCATGTATTTCAAGGTTGAGATGATGGGATTTGAGGATTTTGAGCATCGAAACAACTTCTTTTAGTGAATTTATCTCAAGGTTGAGATGATGGGATTTGAGGATTTTGAGCATCGAAACAACTTCTTTTAGTGAATTTTTGAGGTGCGTTTCAATTTGATTCTTTAGGGTTTCAACCTTATATAAAAGTTTCCCTAAAACTATATATATATATATATATATATATTAATTTATAGACCTGAACTTGACCTGACCCAGTGGGTCGGTCCAGGTCCATTTGACTTGGACCCAACCCAGACCGGGGTCTAGGTGTAACTTAATCAGGTTGTGTCAGGATTGACTGACCTGGCCCCAATCCGACCATTCCTTACCCAACTAATTGCCTCTCGTCTAAATGATGAAATCTCGGTTGTCACACTCGTCTCCAATCATACAAATTGGAGATTGTTGCTATTGTTATTCATGTATTCACCTTTTCTTGAGGACCAGGTTCCTTTACATCTTTCTGATGAAGAAGTTGGGAAGCGAAGTGGTATAAAACTTGTATGTTTGTTCAGACATGTGGGATTCCCATCAAGAAAACCTACAATCCTCTCTTTGAATCTCAATCTTCAAGCAAGGAAGGTTGAAGCACAAAAAGAAAAAATAATAATAAGGGGAAAAATTTGCCTTTGAAACTAAAACCCTACATTTTCTTTCAACTGCAAACAAAGAGAGAGAGAGAGAGGGAGCTATTATTTGAAAATCATAAATAAGATAGTGGTTTTAAAAAAGGATGCGCGCGGGGAGAGAGAGATTATTTGGTTTTCCTTCATAAAAATCAAGAGGACAAGAACAAAATTAAGAAATAAAAAGAATATAAGAATAAAGGAAGCCACTTCTCGCATAATGTATTTATTTTACCAGTTGTTTTACATGTGTTACATATCAAAATATCACGGAAGAGAAAGAAAAATTTACTAACCTCAGTATCAAAGAGAAGATGTAATAAAGTAAAGAATTGTATGCAATGAGACCATTTATCTTTGATACAAGATGGTCACAATTATTCACAACCATATGGTGTGAAATTTAATACCTTAGATGTGTTACAAAATTCAAGAAAATTTCTTTTGAAGTTTGAGCTTGGCCAATGGAATAATTTTAATCACCCAATTTCACATCCAATAGTCAAGATTAATTGACCACCTTGTCCCAAATGTAATCATCTCATTCTATATTTTCCCATACAGTAAAATACATGAAGATGTGGAAATATTCAATAATGAAATTTAAAGAAAGTAGTTTACAAAAGAAATACAAAGTACACATCCTTGCCAACTCACATCTCATCGAACACTAAACTATCTAATAAGGAAAACTATAATCCATTTTCAATCAAACGCAAATAATCAACCAAATCTAGATTTCAAAGAGAATAAAAAGTATAAATAATCAAGAATTTAAGAAAGGTATTTTTAATTTTTAAAATCATAGTTGAAAAATAAAGTCTTAGATTGAGTATAATATAAGGTGCCAAGCAATTATAGTCAAACATTTATAAGATTGGAAAAAGAAAATTTGTGAAAAAGTCTATTGGCCGAAATAACTAATAAATTTTATTGTGAAAGGAATAAATGCAAAATATAACTATGAAAATTTGGAAGAAAGTAATTAAGACAGAAATGAGCATATAATAAGCCTATAAAAAACCTACAAAGTGAAAGAAGGACTCATGTAATCTAGCTAGAGTATATATATATTTTTTTCTTTTTTTCAATTCTTTTTCTTTTCTTCATGGCCTATATCACTTACAAGCAGTCTTTTTAAAATAAAATAACTTCAAATAAAATAAAGGAAGAGAATACAATAAGATCTCAAGAACTTGAAGTTATTCAAACTTTACTTTTCATTAACAAAGAAAAGACACAACCTATGCTTGGCGGAGATTACTTCAATCGGGCGTCTTACACCTCACTTTGAGTCACCACCTTTCGATGGTGTAGGATCTAATAGTCAACCTTTAATTTCAACTGGGAAAGTAATTTTTAGGCCACTCCAATGGAACATGAACCCCTTTAATCAAAACTCAATAGCTAGGTGAACTCCCTTTGATAACCTAGTTTGATAAAGATGTTTTTCTTTCTACCATACCCTAAACCCTTAACCCAATATGAGATGAGATGATGGGAGAGATGAGAGAGAGTGGGGCGTGTCCCTTAGATTGAAGGGAGAAAGAGAGAGCAACTTTCTAAAGAGAGGTGTTTTCTTAGAGTGGGGCGTACCCCCCTAGTTGGCTTATGAGAGAGATGGAAAGTTTCAAGGTGTAAGAATATGGGTACGGTGCTCCCCTATTTATTGATAAATAAATAGGGAAGCATCCTATCCATATTTATAGTGCTTGAATAAACTTAGGGTTTCTTAAGGTTTTTCCTGACTTGCTTCTTTATGTGATATTGAATATGCACCATTGACCTTGGGTGACTTATAGAGTAAGAGATATGACCCGTTCATTCTATAGATAAGTCATCAAAAAACATATGAAAGATGCTATAACTACTATACCCCATTTCTTAAACCATTTTCTCATCAATTAATTCAAATAAGAAATTAATATATGATGATATTATCCTTTATTATTTTATGTTCAAGTTTTCTCATACATGCCAAATTTTATTCCAAAAATTTTCTCAAAGCTTAGCTTTCCAAAACATATCTTACTTATCCCGCAAAACAATAGCTTGTGCTCTAAAAAATAGTAAGTCACCTAGGTGGGGCATACCACCCTTTGTGGCACATAATGGGCCGTACCTAATTTGTCACTGTGGGTTCATAAGTTCTATTAGGCCTCTCATGCAATATTTAAAATAATATTTATTTTTTAAAAATTCATAAAATCATATTTGAATATTGAAATCGATATAAAATCAACATCTCTGTTTTTATAAATCCAAATATGATAAATGAAATATCTATAGATTTAGCAAAAAGCAAATAACAATTTTAAAAAATCATATATTATTAAAATAAAAAAAGTAAATACTATGATGGGAA